TTATCTGCTGCTGCTTCCTCCTCCTGCCTCACACCACACTATGCCACCCATTCCTCCCTCCCTCTTCCTCCTCTGACCTGGACTTCCTCTTTTCCTCATCCTCCCGCCTCCCGGCGTGCCACACCTTCTTCCTCCTCCTCTGCCCCCAGTGTATAAGACGACCCCCGACTTTGGAGAAGATTTTCCTGGGTATATCATGCAAACAAGATGTTGGATCATGGTCATAGTGTTCTATTATAAGTAATGTTGTAATGGAGAGGAAAACAACTCTAGGGATTCATCCACACTGCAGAAATAATCCAGTTTAAAATCATTTTATCTGCCATGACTCAACACTATAGAATTCTGGGAACTGTAGTTTTGTGAGACATTTATGTTTCTCTGTCTGAGAGTTCTGGTGCCACTGCAATTCCCAGAATTCTAAAGCATTGAGCCATGGCAGTTAAAGTGGTGTCATACTGGATTATTTCTACAGTGCAGAGGTAGCCTAAGATATTTTCTGGTGTAAGAGCAGTGATGTAAAATGTTGGAGAAATGGGGTAATTGGTGGGCACAAGACTTGGGAAGCAAATGAACTGATAGCCAGGGATTGGCTAAAATTTTGTTTCAATCCAAAATTCAAATGGAAGAAAAAAAATTATAGGTTTGTATTTAGGCATGTGTTGAACTGTGTTTCAATTCATCTCTCCCCCTCCCCCTCATCCAGCATTTATCCATATGCATATGGATAAATGAAATTTGATTGTGGGAAATAGCAAAATGCAGTTGCCCATGCTTAATGATAACAATACTTTCATGTTTTACTATTGTTTGTGAAATATTGGTATGGAGACAATCAGTAGATAGATAGAAGAAGATATTGGCATGGAGGCAGTCAGATGGTGAAGATAAGGAGAGCCTGGAAATTTCTTCCTTTCTGATCCGTTTGTCCTTCTTGCTAGTAGTTTAAGTGACACTTCTTTGTAAGATCATTTCAATTTCAAGTTAAAAGCCTAAATTTACTCTTCAGCCACCCAGAGATCTTTGTTAAAGCTTAATGACACCTACAAGTTAAATTTATGCACTCAGAAATATGCAGCATTATATCCAGTGGCATTTACTTCCAGTCACCTATGCACAGGATTGCAGTTACGCTGCATAAAATTAATAGATAGCTTTGCTTAGGGGTTGGTTGGGGTTAGTGGACATGTTTAAATTATTTCTCATTCCAGTCAAATAGAATGTGATTTGGCTACATGTGGTTCGTAGGAGTTTGGGCTATTTGCAATGAGCCCCCTGAAAAACCAATTCGCATAGTACACTTTATGTTTACAGGTTTGTGTATCTGTGCTTTTGCTGGAGTTAGTATTAGCTCTTCTGAGTAGAAATGACAGAAAAGCAGGACATCTACCCATCCAGTGGGTATATAACTTTGAATTCTCCTTGGAAACCATGGGGGGGGAGGGCTATCTTTTAAGTTTGGGCTGAATACATTTTCTTTTGGTCATTGCAACAATTTCATTGACTTCTTTTTGACTAGGAAAAAATGAGAACACTATTATGAATCAGTGCCATTTTACTAAGAGATTTCTATGTACTGACCCATTTTCTAAACCATGTATATGTGTTTGCCTTAAAGTTACTTGTGGACATATGACAACCATATGAATTTCATATGGCATTCTTAAGCAAGAAGTAATCACAGGTGGTTTTGCCAATTCCTTCCTATGAAATATAGTGTACAGCACCTGGTATTCATTGGCAGTCACTCATCCAGGTACTAACCAGTGCTAGCCCTGCTTAGTTTTCAAGATCAGATGGGAAAATGCTTCTAGGGTGTTTAGGCCTTGCAAATTTAATTCTTGGGTTGGAGTTGAGATGGAAGATGATCACCATGGAATGGAATGATGGTCATTTTAGGCAGGATATCAGAGGTGGATAGATTATTGGGGGGGATTACAAATAAAGAAAATTCATATCTCCCCTGAGCCATGAGCCTTTGGATTGGTCCCTGTCTTGGACATAATGTTGAAGAAGCAATTATCTTTCAGGTTAAACAAGGCCACAGGGTTATTGTGAAGATAAAATGGCAAATAATCCCTTGTGCACCCATTTGGGCACTTTGGCAGAAGGCCAGAATACCAGTGTGATAAAGTAATAAAATAAAAAGAAATATAAAGTGAAATAAAGAGAAATATTATGAAGAAAATTCTATTCTTGTTAGCCACTACAAAATAAATGGGTAGACCACAAACCTCTGAGATGTTCTTTGTTTTGATTCATTTAATATCATGTAACATTAAATGACAATACAGGGAAAATATTGAAGACTAGGAGCTTGGGGCCAAAAGTACAATTAGGAATAAGGGCCAGAATCCTGTTGGGGATTGACGTCTTCATAGTGTAGTATAATGGTTTGATCACCAAGATAACTTCTACATGAATTATCTACTCCAGGATTTAAATCCTTATATTATGTGCACAGTTGCTAAATTCTGTATTGCTGCAATGAAAATAAGACAAATTCAGACAAAAAAAGTCTCCCTTATCTTAAATGTACTACTATTTTAATATTAATCTTTGAAAATTTCAATTTTCAATTGAAAAATTGTCAGGGGAAATATAAATGTTGTATGTTATTTTATTTTATCTTATAATATTCTATTATATCATTTCTAATCAGTTGATGAGGTGTCCAGCAACTCCATTGATGAAATTATACTGGATCAGTTTCAATCTGTGAGTACCGATGACATGGACAAGCTTCTTGGTAGAGTGAGGAAGACAACTTGCCCTTTCGATCCTTGCCCATCATGGCTGGCCGTCCACGGAGAGGATGCATTGAGGATGTTCCTTATGGACATCATCAATGCATCTTTCAGGGAAGGTCACATTCCACCTTGTTTGAAGGAAGCAGTGGTTAGGCCGCTTCTGTAAAAACCTTCCCTGGACCCCCTGGATATGAACAGCTATAGGCCAGTCTTCTTGCTACCTTTTTTAAAATAAAGTGATTGAGAGGGCAGTTGTTCTTCAACTTCAAGCCATCTTGGAGGAAACTGATTATCTAGATCCATTTCAAACTGGCTTTAGGACAGGATCTGGACTCGAGACTGCCATGGTTGCCTTGGCTGATGACCTTTGTATGAGCATCAATAGGGGTAGTGTGACCCTGCTGGTGCTCTTAGACCTCTCAGTGACTTTTGAAACAATAGATCATAACATCCTCTTAGATTGCCTGAGGTGGTTAGGAATTGAGGCACTGCATTGCAGTGGTTCCATTCCTTCCTCTTGGGCAGATTCCAGAGTGTGTTGCTCGGGGACAGTTGCTCTACTTGGAAAGAGGCTAATTGTGGTGTCCCTCAAGGTACCACAATCCTGTCCCCAATGCTGTTCAACATATATATG